CTTCACGCGCGCGCGCGCGCGCACACGTGAGAAGCTGCGAAATGCTACTTTTGCCTGTGAAACTTCTTACAATTCTTACACATTTTCATACGTTCAGCATTCGATTGATTGCGGCGGCGGAACTGGCATCTACCTCGTTGTAACCTCGACGTACATCATCGTGATACGTGGACGGCGGGCGTGTTTGTGGGGATCTTTGTATCTGGATGACTTTGAAGAAGAAGACAGAGATCTAAAGTGAGTACACAGGACTCGTTATAGAAAGCATAAAGTAAAAAATGTATGAACAACGGCGCAGATAAATATCAAACGTTTGACATACGAATATTTTCGACATTTGAAAAGATATAGAATTCAATTCGTTGGAGCATTTTTTAAACGAAGCTTTTAAAAGCATTTAATTAATAATCTTTTTATTACAGACGTGGCAAGCCGTTGTATCTCAGCCAAGACAGATATCAGCTTCTGGAGCAGCAATGGCTGGCGCACAGATTCGATCATACGAAGAAAACGTGGGTGTGGCATCGCGACGCTCTGTGACCTCTCACGATGTCGTTGTACATCACTCGTCATTCTTAAGCTCAGTCTCGAAGAAAACACTGTCCTCGCCCTTTTATCTGTATTTCGCTCTCGTGTATTTCGATTCCCACAATTTATTCTCATACGAAAACGCCTCGTCCTTTTCGCGGTAACGCTCGCTTCAGCGACTAACAGGAAGTAGATCGTCCTTTAACAAATACCATTGTATTTATTATGCAGTCGAGTAAGTAATAGGTATATAAAAAACGACGAATGAAAGTATTAAGAGAAAAGATGCGCGTCTGGGAAGAAAGACAAATTTGTTCATATAGTCATGCGAAACAACTTGAATAATAATAAATATATAGAAGTTAATAAGTCAGATAAAAAATACTTGTAAATTTTATTTAAACATATGCACAGGGTCATCGTTTATTTCAATCTTTCCGCGCAGTTATTTTTGAAACTAGTTGTCGAAGAAAATTTTAATCATATTATGCCTACTTTCGAATTATAACGTCGAGCCGAATAAGAATAGAAAATAATTTTTATACTTTCTCGCAATATCTACCACCTATTTCGTAATTATTCACGCGGAGATTGAAATGACACACCTTGTATATACGCGTATACATACACATGTAATATATAAAGTACGTCTTAATAATAAAAAGAAGGAAGAATATGTACTTATCTAGCGTGTAGCATTTGTACCTTCTAGAAGACGACATTCAAATGGCGAAAAGGTGGAAAAAAAGAAACTTGCGTGCCGCTTTTCAAACGATCCGAATAACTCGATATTGGAAATGAATAGTTTTAGACTCATCCTCTCCTGCTTCTCAAGCGCGCTTCGCAGACATTTGTAAAACAGACGCAATTTTCCCGCGAGTACTTATATTTTGACAAATGCGTAACATGCGCTGATTTTCCAAACATTAACATTGCTGTAAGTAAGAAGAAATAGTTAGATATGCGAGAGGAAAAGGAAGAAAGAAAAGAAAATATCGAAGACTGATGTCTTTAAATGCTTTCTATAGAAATTCTATTTATGTCCGATGACGTATATATATATATATTCTAGTTCAATATATATATATAATAATAATATATATATATTATATATATATATCTAGTTCAATATATTGTCAGAGACTATTTTTATTATTTACACCCGATATATTATTTAATCCGTGCGATATGTGTGGTAGAGCTGTATGAAACGAAGGATACATTAGTGTAGATTGCAAATTTTTATCACGTGATAACAAGCGCAGGATAAGATAGACAAATCGATGCCTCTTTATTTCAAGATGTAGTATAGAATTATAGTTTATTACGATCAATATGTTGACAATGTGTAAGGAAAGAGTTAGAAGGATCACATAGATGTTAAATGTCGCGAAATTATGCAAAATCTGTTAATTGTAAATGGTATCTTGTTTCATTATAATGGTGTTTATGTTGAAACTGACGTTTATTTTGCATATATCGCTTGTTATTGTTTGCAAAGAGCGATCTATTATATATATCGGATATTTTTAGAAAATAGTAATATATATGTATATATACAATGTTCTACATTTTATACATATGCACATACAATGTAGAATACAATGTAGAACATTGTGTATACGTATATATATTATTATCTTGCGAGATTTTAATTTTAACGATAGATTCTCCGATGAATTTCAAATTAATTTTCCTACATTCAAAATGCCAATATTTTTATTAATTAAATCTTTGGGAAATGTCACAATTGAAAATTGAATTGATTTCGTTAATTTTAACAAACGATTCAACGTGAATTGTAATCTCAGAAAATTTTAATTCAATTCGGGCGAAAGATAAATTGGAGAAAAAAGAAATCTGTCATTAAAATTGAGATCGCAAGTTACGAGTTACACTTTGTATATACATCAAGATTTTTTAAATTGGTTTCAAACTCCGTATGTTTCAGACATGTTTGCAATACGAAACTGACTTTTTTTTCCAATGCAATTTCATACTGTAAATATGTAAGAATGACATGGCTCGCCACATAATGTGTTATTAGTCAATGCTCGAAATAAGATGATTTGTATATAAACTATATGATTATTTTTAGGAGTCTTTGCTAATAAGAGTCTACGATAAAACATGTACGATTAAAAAAAAACCTTGAGAATTAACGAATTATACATTATAATTATCAAATATGTTCAATGTATAAATAAAAACGATTCTGTCAAGAAGATACGTAGTCTCATCTGTTAAACTTACGCTTTATAATATTTTTTTTTATTAATGCTGCGATTATTCAAAAGGATGACAAAATGATTTACAATTGTTATTATTTTTATTACAGCTTAAACGTAACAATTTTTTATACCATATTTGTATTGTTTTTTTTTGTATATGCTTCTTAAGGGGGAGTAAAAAAAAAAAGGGAACCAAGACATGCAATTTCCGTGGGCGAGTTTGAATGATCAAGGAATTCACGAATGTCAAACGCATTTAGAATTAGTGGATAATTCAGTTATTCTATTTCCGACAATATATATATTGCCCTGATGACACGAAAACGGAAACACAATGCACAATATATAATTGAGATATGCTGCTCGCGCGCCTAAATGTTTTATAAAATGACTCAGGAATTTGCTGTTTGGCGTTTTTCAGTAACAACTCGGCCTGGTACAGGAATGTAAAATACCACATTTTACAATATCATACGTCAAATAAAAAAAAATTACATTTTGTTTAATTATACGTGATGTGTGTCTGTGTAATTGTGAGTGCACGTTAATGCGTGTGTATGGATCGTATTATCTTTTTTTTATATCCGTTTTCTTAGAAGACGTAAAGAACGAGCCAAGACACGCGACTTCCGAGGATGGGGTTAAATGGATAAAAAATTTACGAATGTCAAGTGTATTTATAATAATGGATAATTCGATTATTCTATTTTCCGATAAGTTGCTCTCACAACATACGAAAATGAAATCAATGCACAAGACACGACTGTGTACGCCTAAGTTTTATAAAATAATTCAGATTCACTGTTTGGCGATGTTTGTTAGAAACAACTTTCGCCTTCGTATGAAAATGTAAAATAGTACATTTTACAATATCGTATATAAAATAAAGACAATTACATTTTGTTTAATCATATATGCATGATGGATGTGTGCATGTGTGTGTTTGTGTGTTTGTGTGTATGTGTGTGTGTTTGTGTGTGTTGTGTTGTTTGTGTTGTGTTTATACATATTAATTTGTCCATCTTTCTTTGTTATAAGAATCACTTTCACTTTAAGAAATATTATAGAACGAAATGTTAATCCTTCTCTTCTCAAACTAATTCAGTTAATGACCGCCTGTTTGTTCTTGATACACTTCAATGACATCATCATTCTCCATTTCCAACTGAAATTAATATTTTATTAAGAATACTTTTTACTATAATAGATAAAATATTGATAAATATATAACATTTAAATAAATACATCTCTAAAAAAAAAAGAATAAAAATCGATTGCAAAGGGATAAGAAACTTTTGCGATTGTTCTTCATATTATTTAATCGTATCTGTAATTTTCAATAAAAATATCCAAGTATTGATTATTTTTAATTACAACACAGAAAGCGAGAAATGTGAGTACAGATTCAGAACGAGCACATTGTTCCTCCAAGAGACACCAAGTTACAATTATTATTAATTACCTGCTTTGGTGTTTCGTCATCATTGATTCTCTTGCCATCGAAAAGAAACCTAAGTGATGTCATCGGTACACCCTAAAATAAAATAAAACTCATTATTACAAAAGAACAATTAAACATATCTTGAAATTTAGTATAAAAAATTTCATAAACAAGTTATAAATTAAATATTTAATTAATTTACAAATTATATTTCTCATGCAAGACTCACTATTAAACAAGAAACATGAATCAAGCATGTTCAAAATTAAAAACAATTATTTAAAAAACAAAATTAAAAAACAAAAATTACAACCTTAAATATTTCAAAGTACTTTCGAGAAACATCAGAATTAAGACAAAAAAATTTCAATGATGCTTTTCCATTGATTCGTATTTTTCACAGTATTACTTGTAGAAAAATTTATACAATTGTGCATGCTTCAATAACGATATAATAAATGCGAGTAAAACAAAAAAAAGAGACCCACCACGCGATCGCTGTAAGATTTCTTCAACTTCCCCATTTGAGTGGTCATCTTTACCCTAAAGTGTATTTCATTGCTGTCCTGGAAAAAGAAGAAATCTCATGCGTGTGTGCAGAAATGTGTACGATATTATCCAGTATGCATCGCTTACGTTTCCGACGACTTTGAGCTTGATGTATTCTGAATTTGCGTCGCCTGGGCCGGCTTCGGGTTTCTGTTCCTAATAGTATATGGCAAGGTTAGAGCGCTAGTTCAAACTCTCAGCAAATCGGTGTGAAAAATCGGTGAAATAATCGCTGCTAGCTGCATTCGCAGCCGTAATTGAAAGGACGACATCGAGAGAATGTCGATCACGCTAATCGGATCGCTTACCTGATTGTCGGACATCGTTATCAATTAAATTACAACAAACTTCTTCACCACGCGCCAGAAACGCTAACCAAACACTAGCACGCAATATGGCGCCGCGCTTTTGTCAGTTTCACAGCCTACTCGCTTCTTGTGCCGGGAACGAAGGATCGTAACGGTTGTGCCGTTCGTAAACGCATCACTTTTCTTACAAAATAGGTTAGGTGGGGTAAGGTTAGGTTGGAAAAAGGATAATTTGGGATAAAGGTAAGGTTAGGTTACGTTTGAACAGTGAGCATGGACCTAGGAATATATGGACAAAGCGATAAGTGGTCTTATCGGTGGGGGCGGGGGGGTGAAGCCTGAGCGGCAGAGGGAAATCATGCAGCGACATGTTGGTCGGCTAGAAAAATGGCAATGTTATTAACTTAATCTTGGCTTGGCGTTGGCGTAATGAATAATATTCATATATTATAAATTCCGCGCTCATTTATAGCGTTTTCGTATTATACAGGATTTGTAACGACC